CTAATTATCACTATTCAGATAATCTCATCTATATTAGCAAGTGTTAGCAGAGATGACCTCTACATTAGAGCTACTATTCAGACACACTTCTTCAGTAGTGCAACTAAGCACTAATTAGTATACTTGGTACTAGTTATAACTACTCTTCACTATCACTTTTTCTATAGTGCCATGTAGTGCTGACATGATACTATTATAGCACTACTGCAAATGTGGTCCTCTAATTTTCGCTATTTTGCACTACTGTAGTACTATTTTGCGCTATTTTAGCACTACTCATTTAGGGGAGACTCAAATAAGATGACAATCCTTTATTTATAGCTCATAGTTCTCAACTCAAGCATTACACACCTCTATAGCTGCAAAATCACCATGATAGCTGAGTTATATTTGAGGGCACAACTCAATACAGAACTTGTTATTATGTATAGAATTAGGCTGTCAGCATAGCATTTATATCATGAAGCATACTCTATAGCACACTCCATATTATATATATAGCCCTAGACATTACACATATGCAAGTTCCAGCAGGTGGAACTCAAGGTGAGGTGTCACCACTTTGCCCAAGTCCAGCAGTGATGGATATATATAATACTTGTGGGAAGGATCTATATAAGCTCTGGTGGCGTAGTGGTATAGAGTGCCACCTCGGAACAGGTGTCATATAAAGGTGAGGTTGAGGGTTCAAGACTGGCTGAGGACATTTTTTTCATATATTTTTCCAGCACTTTAAATGCATCTGGGGCTTATAAACAGATGGTTTTGAGGTCATAGAAAGCATCTCTACACCAGTCAGAAATCATAGACCCACTCTATCCACTACTATCAACGTCTACTGTAGCACTATTTCCGTCTACTATAGTGCTACTTTGTACGAATTTGCATTAATAGTGCAAAATAGTGCAATTATTTTTGGGGACCTCTCGATTTTGCACTATTTTTCACTATCCAACTACTGTGTCTATTAAGAGCTAATTTGTACCAAATAGGTGTAATTCGCAAAGGTGGTTTTTACAGATGCAAGCGGTACCAAGGCCAACATTTTGCTCACCTATTGGTTACGCTCTCCTCTCCGGAAGCAGCCAACAAGGTTATCCGAGCAGGTCTGGTGCTAGCGGGCCACCATGTAAGCGTAAGGAAGAACCTGGCAGAACCATTGAGGTGCTCCAAATGCCAGCGCTACGATGCAGGGCACCTGGCCAAGGAGTGCCCTCAGGACCATGATACGTGCGGAACATGTGCGCGCACACATAGAACAGCGGATTGTAAGATACAAGATGTGCAGCAGTATCACTGTGTGAACTGCAATGAGAAGGGTCATGCCGCATGGGACCGGGAGTGTCCTGTCTTCCTAGACCATCTGAGCAAGTTGAACGCCCGCTGTCCAGAGAACCACCTTCAATTCTACCCTACAGGGGACCCGGACTCATGGGTCCCAAAGCTGCATGATAGAGCTGTCTCTGCCACACGAGTTCAGTTGAAAGACGTAATTGAGGAGGAGATTGAGAAGGCCGAAAGGCACCC